CACCTATCTTATTGATACAATGGAAACTTGTAGCTGAGGCTATTCAGAGAGAGAGAGAGAGAGAGTCATCTTAGAATTCTGCCAGGTACTACAGAGATGAATACAGGTCATGTGGTGGGTTGAAGTAGTCCAGGAAGTCCTAACAGGAAAAATACCTTTTTGCATATGGTAGGTAAAACAAGTATAGCGCCTCAGAACCATCTGCATGCCTTCCTACCAGACTCTCGATTTGTGCAAGGTTCTTTCATGTTGGGAGCAAAGGACTATCTGTAACTTTGATCAGTAACATCACTGGCCGCTGTCAATTGGACACTGGATTTTTGGAGCTGTGCAAGAATTTCAGGGACAGCTTTGTTCCATTACCTATTTCACCTATACACAGAGAGGTGATAACATGAATGAAATTATCCTCCATTTGTTTCACATTGGGAAATTAACTTGCTCCCGTCCTATTTCTAGCTTCAGAGAATGGAGGTGAGGGAAGCAAAGCAGACACACATATGACACACACAAGTTCTTAAAGGAGGCTTGTTTTCAGAGTATTCCTATTTTACCATTCCTAGGTAATTATGATTTACAGGTAGATTTCTGCTTTTTTTCCCATTTTTGATCTTCACCATTAAATCTTACTTGTGCTCTGTCTGGATCACTCTTTGGGATCATGGTAGCAATAATACTGTCTTTAGGGAAGAAGCCATGTTGTCTTTGACAGTTTTTCTGATCAGTGTTCTGTACAGTCAATGCCAAAGCAATCACAAAGTGATACAATTTCTGGAGCATTCTGGATTCAAGACAGACATTTACATGTGGTGCCAGGGAAGTTATTCATAGATCTGAATTGAAGGTGAATAGTATCCAGTACATGGTCTTCTTTCAGAAAGTGAAGATGGCTATAATAGAAAACAAGGGGTGCTATTGAAAAAAATTCCAAATCTTATTAGAGCCGGTTGGAAATCTGATCTCATAAATAAGTAAGCTTTAGTGATCCAGAGTTAGTGTGACACACATCTAACAATACACAGAGGAATACATGAAATCTGCTTATCTATTGGCAGAGATCTATTTCTGACTGTATATATTCTCTGTTCCCCCCAACTGGGGAATGCTGAGAGTCAGAATTTTTTAAGGAACCTTCCTAGTTCAGTTCAGGGAAGTAGATACAAGAAAAAGGAAGAACACATCTAGCAGCTGGAAGGTAATGATTCATTGAGGTCTCAGAGTACTGTTTCTTCCATGGATAACTTAACCAGTGCTTGTCATGATACTCTTTCTTTTTTTTATAACTAAGAATAATACAAACAGCCCTACTCTGGAGAGAAATTCTCCTGTTCTGGGTGAAACTCAATTTCCTATCTCCTACATGCATTGCTCACGAAGGGAGAGAGGAACACCAAGACTTACATGGCACAAGGATAAGTAGCAGAGTGGAACCTGTATCCATAAGTCTTCTTAACAATTGTAAGTCTGTTTTGTGGGCTTCTGATCAATCTCTTTGCATTTGGGAAAAAAAAAAGCGTCCTTGGGAGCTTCTGTGTCAGGACCCGTTATGTGAGGGGATATTTAACAAGGAGCAATGCCTATGATATTTAATATGAAATCAAATAAAAAAGAAAATTAACACTACCCTTGGAGTACACCTAATATATAAAGGAGAATGTTTGTATGTTTGTGCTCTAATAACTTGGACACTATAAGAGCTACCACAACCAAACTTGACATGGGATAACCTTTCATCCAGGAGAAGGTTTTAAGGTACTTTTGGACCCGATCGGGCCCGAGCTCAAGCTGTAAAAATCAAAAAGTAACCCGCCGCACTGCCCTTCAGGTGCCGTCCTGCCCACCCTAGGTCCTGTGCCCACCGCCTGCAGCCCCCAGCGCCATCCAGGACTCACCCCGTCCTGCTCACGAAGTTACATAAGCAACCCTCTTCTCCCGCCCCCCTCGTGCCAGCACGCAGTGCCCCGACCCCCATGCACACACTGGCTCAGGCACCCGCCCTGTCCCCCAAGGCACATGGGGTGCCCCTCCCGCATGTAACCTCCCCTCCACCTGGGGTCACACCCACCTCCGGGAATGATGAGGACTTATATTTTAATCCCTATAGAAATCAGTGCAACTTTTCTACCATTCAAAAAAAGATAATGGACTACTGTTTTTCTACATTTTGTTCCTCCAGTTTCCCGAACAACGCCGGGTAACTCCAGCTAGTGTATCCATATATCATCAATCTTTCTAACAGCTCAAGCTAGTACTTGCTACTTCTGACTCATAAGAGCCAGAACTCTACCACATAGCAAAATTCTGGCCTTAAATTACCATGTATTAATTAGTAACACAGGGTTTAAAAAAATAATTAAGATCAGAGTTTTAGAAATCTGCAACACTCCAAAAAAATCTGTTAAAAGAATCTTTTTCTTTCTTACCTTAAGTTAACACCTATGTAAACTTTGTTTGAAAGGTTGTCATGCAGATGTCCTGCCACACACACAATTGAAGTCCTCCTTAATTTAATAATCAAAGTCAAGATCTTAGAGGCAGTGTCAGGATAGAGTGAGCTTGTGTACTTTAGTGAGATCATCTAAATAGCTGCTGTAGGGCTGTTTAGCTGCCTTTCCTGTCGGCCTCTAAGGGAGGCCATACTACCTCAATGTCAGGCATCTATAAAAGTGATCTCAAAAAGGGGGATTAACTGCTTCTAGAATTCAGGCCCTCAGTCGGGGCAGAGCATTAAGGCAGTCTTTGGGCCTCAAGCCCTCAATCGGGAGGACAGCAAATAGAAGTCTCAGACAGGGGTGAGCACCAACATAGTCTAGTGCTCAGGCAGGGATAGTAGACCAAAGCAAGCCTCTTGGCCTAAGGTGAGGAGCTGCCACACACATGCACTGGCTGACAAGGATAGGAGGCACAGGCCAACCAACTCCACTGCCTTCTAGTCCAGGGCCCTAACAGTGGCAGAGTTGGATCACCATTGGATCAGTGGAAATCTGCCTACAACGTGCTGAACTAGCATCACGCCAACACTTATCCAGCTGGTCATTTAGTTCTTCTGGGCTACTTCCTACATCCCTGTGGTTCATTATTTTTGTGATGTGGGGATCTTCTGTTTCTAGGGGGAATTCTGGCCAGTCCTCAGGCAGCAGCTCTTTAGCGTCTTGGTTAGCTGGAAGCTCTGGCCAGTCCTTAGGCAGCAGTTGCAACAGCTCCTCAGAGTCTTGGTCAGCTAGTGATGCAGGAAGATCCGGTCAGTCCTCAGCATAGTGGGGATCGTCTGCAGGTTCCAGCGGCAGATGGGATATGTTTATCTCTATTGGTGGCTCCAGCCCAAATGAACTGCAGAGCTCGCATTTTATACTTCCACTTCCTGTCCCATTCTTCAGCTTCTGGCAGGATAGGCATGGCTTTCTTGGTTCTGCACACCAAGGCTACGTCTAGACTGGCATGATTTTCCACAAATGCTTTTAACGGAAAAGTTTTTCCGTTAAAAGCATTTGCGGAAAAGAGCGTCTAGATTGGCACGGATGCTTTTCCGCAAAAGCACTTTTTGCGGAAAAGCGTCCGTGCCAATCTAGACGTGGTTTTGCGCAAGAAAGCCCCATCACCATTTTCACGATCAGGGCTTTTTTGCGCAAAACAATACCGCGTTGTCTACACTCGCCCTCTTGCGCAAAAGCATTTGCACAAGAGGGCTTTTGCCCGAACGGGAGCAGCATAGTATTTCTGCAAGAACACTGACAATCTTACATGAGATTGTCAGTGTTCTTGCGGAAATTCAAGCAGCCAGTCTAGACACAGCCCAGGGGCATTGTGTGGTCCTTCACTGTCAACCTCTGAGGGTGGCCATGCATCTTTATTATAGCAACATAGCCATCCATTCAGAGGTCACCACATTCTTCATAATGGTCATCCAATCTTAGCCCATGCCATTTCTTCTCTTTTGGAATAAGTCTTCCCTGTACTGTGGTGCCTTAGGGAAGATGTAGGTTATATTTATATATAATCTACCTTGTTTTGGATGTCTGCATTTAAGGATGATCCTGCTTCCTACCCTAGAGGTATACTGTTATGAAAACTACTAATATAATGGGTCTGGGAATCTTTGCACAAAGAGGAGGAAAATTTATCAGTGTTTACCTGAAAATTTCTCTTAGAATAATAAAGTCCACAGATGTGGACCATGTGTGAGACAAATGGATTACCCAGAATAGCGTTGAACATTGACATCTAAGAATTTAGATTAATCATTTTAGGTATATTTGCCATGCTCCTTAGTATGAGAAATCATTCTGTTTCTTTGATGTATATTAAGCACATTTTTAATTTGAAATATCCTGGTTTTGGAAGTTATCTCACCTGAATGGAACTTTGGGTGGATGAGGCATTCCCATGCCACCAGTGTCTGGTTCTGCCCTCAAACTGCAAATAGCCTGACATACCCATTGTGATGAATCTGTGTGCCTTATTACTCAGTGTTCAACATATATATTTTGAATCGCTTATGAGGTAGAACAAGTAATTAGGGATCATGAGTATTTTCAGTTTGAAATGTTATCAAAAATCTTTTCTTTTAGTGTAATTGGTCCATTAGAAAATTGTATAAGCTCCATGCAATGGAGTTCATCTCTGGCAGAGAAGATATAGCAATACACAGAAAGGGGGTTAACTCCAGCGTACAACACAATCATCCCAACCTTCTTTTCAATTTAATGGCAGATTTTTAAACAAGTGTCACACAGGTGCTCTCTCTACCAAGTTAATTTGATTCTTGGTTACATAGTTGCTAGCTCCTTCTCCTTGCTTTAATGTAATCATGTACAAGTTGAGATCATCTTCCACTAAAGCAGTATTGTGGGGAATTGTTCCTCTACTATTTAAATGTAGAGTGAATTCTTAAGTTTTGCTTTAATTGTTGAAGAAATCATCTAGTGTTTTATAGTTAACCCTTGACATGAAGAAGCACTTGTCTTATTTTGTTAAATATGAGTTTTTCTTTTACCATTTAGCAATAATTCTAAATATCTAGAATTTATGAGCAGCGAACTTCAATTGGGACTGCAACTGCCTTCTCTGCAAATAAATGCCTACCAGGAAGACACAGCACTGAAACCCTGGATCAATGGTATTTTATTTTGAATTAATAAAGCACTTTGTATTTTTTTTGCATTTGTTTAATGTTTTTCATATAAACATTTAAGAATGAGCTAATCTCTCGGTATTAGTTATTGTGCACAAGGAAGTGAAAATGCACATTCTTTGACAATAGTGTCTGTAGATCCCTATTCTGGGCTTCCTAGAATCTGTTTGGTTGGAATCTTCTGGAAAAGTAATGCTCATTCTGACTGTTCGAGTACCTCTTCAAGAAACTGAAAATTCAGGCTTGCTGGTTTAAACGATTACAAAGCTCTGTCCTTTCTGCTGCTCCTCTGTTTCCACTAGCAGTTTATGTCTAGGAATGTGAGGTCCCTCTCTAAGGGGGTGCTGGTGAATCCAGAACGTTAACTGTTTTCATAGAAGGATCCTACCTGACAGTATCGGGGGTGCCTATATTTATCTCTAAGTATTTATATTCCTCCACTATCCTTGTACTTGAACACTATGTAAGAGTATAAATCTATAGGTGCATTATATTTGAACTACTTTTACTTGTGAATAAGTCACTGAATAAGTCTCATTATTATAGTAAAGGCTACATACACTTTCTTCCCAAGTGACACCTTTGTGATGTTTGATCCAGAGCAAGTGTATAATTTTACTTGGCATATAAGGCAGGTAGATATGTGTATGATCTTTATTTACAGACAAGTATTCCGTTTTATTCTCAGTGCAACAGCTACTTTGGGAACCAATACTTTCAGTATCCTTTGCTTAAATACATATCTGTAAATCTGAGTTTCCTGAACTCTGAAATTTGGTGCATGGATAGTTTAAGGTTCTGCCACCAACCCAAGTATAGGAATTACAGTACTGGATCAGACTAGAAGTTTGTCTGTTCTGCTGTTACTGATAATCGTCCATATTGGCTGTGTTTGTGGTGTTTCTTACACCTTCTGATAGCAGTTGTGGAATAGCCTGTCATAAGGAATGGTTCTTCCTTACCTGCTTTAAAGGTTGGCTTACATCCTAAGGCATGAAGTTGTATAGTCTGCCTGTAGGTCCTGTTTAGTTTTTTAAATCTTACAACTATAAATCTAGATATTCTTATTAATCTCGTAAATGTACTACCCTTGTTTGACTTCTGCTTAAATCTTGGAAGTAAAACGCTTGTGGCAATGAGCTTCACAGACTAATTGTCTGTCTTGTGAAAAAATATTTCTTTAGGTACTTTTCATTTCCTCATGCCTAGGTTCACTCTATATGAGATACATTCAACAAAGATCCATTTTGTTAGATAATTGGATAATTTCATGGATTAATTTCAATACTTAAAACTTAGTTCAGTCATCAGAGGAGAAATGCAAGCTCACAGCACTCACTATCAAAATGTTACACTTTAATTTTTTAAGGAATAAATATTGCAGTACTTTTGTTAAAAGATAACTCCAGAAAGGTGCTTATTCCTAGGTTTACAAAAATTTCCATCTTTAGTAGAGAACTTGATGGAAAGGTTCGGTCAATACATTTTTAGAGTTTCTCCAAACAACATATAGTGGTGCTGAATATTTCCTTACTTTAAAGTATGTCTTTTGTACAGCCAGGCTTACTGGGTTGAAAAGTGCTCTTCTTCAGACATGTAGAAAGCAGACTGTGAAAAAAGGATAGTTCGATGCGTTTTATAATCTGAGAACAGTTCTTTTGCATCTACTTAAGTCTTATTGACATAAGGACAGGGTGCATCAAACTGGGGTGTAAATCTACAGTACTACAATAAGTTCTTCTAATGCTTGTTTCATGTGCATTCCAATCAGGTGTGTGTGCACGGGAGCAGGAAGATTTTGCCTAGCAGGAAGTATCATCCAGTGCACCCCCTAGAGTGATGTCAATATGGCGCTCAATAGCCTAGCTCAGTGGTTCCCAACCTTTTTTATACCACAGACTGGCAGACTTGTTCACAAACTTTAGGCGGACCAGTAGCATTTTATCTGCATATTCATTATGGAAATTAATTTTAAGAGGCCACGTGTTATTCTGCATCACACCTCCACGGGCAAAATACATGTCGTAACAGATCAGAGTTTGCAGATATCTACAACACTAAAAAAAACATTCACAGAAAGAATTCCCCTCTGGCTGCTGGGTGGGGCAGTCCCTCCCCCAAGGGCAACTGGTGCCTGCAGATGGAGGGGCACAGGTAGAGGCACGGGGTACCCCATTTAGCCCCTGAAATTTTGTCGGGCAATAGGAGCTGGTGCCCCCAAGTGTTATCATCAGTCACCTCTGCCCTCCTTCCCCTCTTGCCCCATGGGGTGGGAGAGCTACTGTTGTATCTTCCCCCGTCTCCTTCTGTACAACCCCTGCCCTGTGTCTCTCCCTTCGCCAGCCAGGCTGCTCTTGCTCCCATAGTCTCCCCCCTGCAGCTTCCCCCTTTCCTCCCTGTGACTCCCCCTTCAGAGTTTACCTCTGTTGCACCCCTGTTCCCAGTTGCCCCATGTTTCCCCTGAATTGCCCAACCTCCCTTCAGCACCTCCTGCATTCTCATCCTGCCCTGCCTCACACATCCCTGTTCCCCCAATTCCCTTTATCTTCCCCTGCCCTTCTTCAGTCTCCTCTTGATCCTCTCCAGGGCTGCCCCTCCCCCCCCACCTCGTGCAGACTAGGAGCTGGCCACAGTTTCCTTGGGCCTCAGGCAGGGATTGCAGCCAGCTCCACTGGAAGCAGCCCAGAGCCAAACCCTCCCCCTGCAGCCCTGGGACACTGCTCACGGAGGGGTGTAGTCTTTCTTACCTGTCCCCCAAGCACTGTCTGCCCTGGGGCAGGGTATGGTTGCTAGATAGTTTCACAAAAAATACTGAACATGGTGGGGAGAAAAAAACCCACCACATGAGGAAAAAAAAGGGGTCATGGCTCCTTTAATCCCCACATCTCCACCAATCGTGGCAGGAGAAGAATGTCCCAAGCGGCCTTCCATCCGAGAAAAACAGAAAATACTTTTCTGGCTTTTTTACCAGACAGAAGTTGCAAATACTGGACCAATACCGGACACCTGGCAACCATAGGGTAAAGGTTGGCTGGGCTGGAAATGCTGATTTGGGAGAGATTCCTGGGGAGCAACGGAACTGGCCCTGCTAGAAATTCCCCATCCTGGCTGCAGCCCGGGATCCTGGGGAGCAGAAGCAGCAGCCCCTGCCGGGAATCATAGATTTGGCCTGGAGCCTGGTCCTGAAGCACTGAGAGCAGCAGCTGCGAGTTGCTTCCTGCTGCAGGGGTTGAGCCCAGCCCTAGCTCCCAGAGCCCCTGCCTACTTCTGCAGCATCCTGGTGAGCAACCTGCTGTGCTGCAGCTCTTGCCCCTGGGAGCCCTCCCGCAGTGTGCCATGGCCTAACAGCCAGTGGTTCAGAGCCTGGCACTGGACCACAGACCGGCAGTTGGGAACCCCTGGCCTAGCTGACCCGCCAACCCCTCCCTCCTCCCCTCCTCCCTATTGTTTGGTGACGGCAGAGGGAACTTTTTGCTCTTGTTCTGCAAACTCACCTAGTTGCTTTTCAAGTATATAATTACAGTTTTATAACTGTAGGTAGATTTAATGTTAGTAGTTTCATTGATTAGAAAGGAGGGAATCCAGTTTTTTTTCCCATCCTGGGCCTGGGACATATCTTGATCTTTAAGATTTGTCAGGCTTGCAGTAAGCTTATCCCAAACGAGTGACACTCATGCTGTCAGAAGTGTTTGGGTAAGGGTTACCAGAAAGAGAAGTGCTGCATTTGTAAGAGTTTTTGTCCATTGATACTTAAAGACAGAGAGCAGAGGCATAGAATCCTCATGGAGGCTGCTCTTCAACCTCAATTGGATCTAGGCCTAGCCAGCACCATAGCCTTGTGCAGAGTGTTCCGGCACTGACAGCGTCGGATCTGGTACCAAACAGGGACTGGCATTGCCACGACACTCAGTGTGGGGATGGTAGCCGCAAGTCTGCATCCCTGGTGCCGAAGAAGAAACGAAGTAGAGAGACCAATTCTCAGGTCCCCAGAGGAGGCAGCTGTCCTCCGTGCACCAGTTGCAGGCAGGGTCTGAGAAACTGGCACAAAGGGAACGTTGACTCCTGCCCTACAAAAGGGCCAGTTGAGTCCTCCCCGCCATCACCCCTGGACTGCCACGACTGGGATATGCAGATCCTTTCCACCGTGGAGACCTTTGAGGCAGCCCAGAAACTCATTCAGAAGACAGCACCACACCAACCAGAAAAGGACCCAGTGCTGCTTTCATCTCATTAGCTGGTGCCATAACATGGTAAACCCTTTCTATTACCACACAGATTGTCATCCCTGGAGAGGACGTCTCCCCTGCAAGAGACACGAGACCACATCTTACAGGTCTTCAGAATGGGTTACCAAGAGAGGTAGTGGAATTTCCATCCCTAGTGGTTTTTAAGTCTCTTCTTGACAAAGCCCTTGCTGCATTGATTTAGTTGGGATTGGTCCTGCTTTGGGCAGGGGGCTGGACTTGATGACCTCCTGAGGTATCTTCCAGCTCCATGATTCTGTAACTCCATCCCAAGTTCTGTTGTGCCCCCTGTCTGCTTTGTGGAGAAAGGATACAGAGTGGAAGGGGGCACCTTGACATCAGTGCCCCTCCTGTCTCTTCCCTGCCCTGCCCTGCACTGAAAGCAGGAGGCTCCCCAGGGGAATGGTAGCTCCAAGGCAAAGGACAGGAGATGAGCAGCAGTGAGGGGAGGGGCAACTGAAGTGCCGACATTTCATAGCCTCTTGGCCAAACCAGTCAGGATCACCTGTCAGAGGCTCCAAGATCTACCAGTAGATCCTGATCTACTGGTTGGTGACCACTGCTCTAATGTGATATATGCCATCAAATGCCAACAGTGGCCCTCTGCCATGTATATGGACAGTTTCTGTGACAAAGGATTAATGAACAAAAACCAGATGTTTGAAATGGTAACACACAGAAGCCTAGAGGGGAACACTTTAACCTACATGGACACTCATTAATGGACTTAAAAGTAGCCATTCTTCTACAAAGAAATTTCACAAGCCAACTATAGAGATTGAGTGCAGAATTGACTTTCATATGCAAATTTGATTCTTTCTCTCACATGGCCTGAACAAAGATTTGAACTGGTAAACATATTATAACACCAGCTTTCCGTATATTCAGTACCCTATTGACATCAAAAGCTAAGTATGGGACACTTCCAGCTCACTTAATTAGCCTCATTAGCACCAAGACTACAATTGATAGGTAATTTTTTTCTCCCTCTCCCTTCTTATTCTGAGGGTCTCCCTTTCTTTCTCCACTCAAGATCATCTCATCTGAAGAAGTGGGTTTTGCACACACAAACTCATGTATGTATATATATTTGCTAGTCTTTAAGGTGCCACTGGATTGTTTTTAAAGTTATAGACTAACATGACTACCTCTCAGACTTTTTTCACTAGAGTTGGTAGGGCTCATGCATCTTCAGAAACCTGATCATATTGTCCCCTTAGTTAGTATTTAGGGACAATTCTTGCATAACACCTGCATATTTTCATTTGCCAGTATAAAACCATTTGGGAATATTAGGGGGCTTTTTAGCATGATTTTTTGCACATTGTGTGGTCTAATGCGTTTTTTAAATTTAAAATTGAATTCTTTAAACTATTTACATGCATTTGGTCTCATTTCTGATTTGAGTCAGGTAGTTATCAAATATGTTGGACTAATGTTGCTGAGCAGAACTCCCTCAGAAATACTTTGATCTTGAATGAATGTCCATAATTAAGGAAATATAAAAATATAAAAGCTCTAAATGATACTTTCTTACTAACTCTGGAAGGAACCACTTGGAAGAGGGCAGGGAGGAGGAAAAATTGTGACTGGAGCAATAAGATTATTTTGTTCATTACATTCCCAGTTATTTGGAATAAGAAATAAACATATTTTTAAAAGTGACTAGTGTTTTTTGGGTGCCTCAGCTTTTGGATGCCCAACTTGACACCACAAATTGGTTTGATTTTTCTGAGCACCTACCTTTTGAAAATCAGATTTTTTTCAGGGAGTCAAGTTAAACATCCAAAAGTTGAGGCAATCAAAAGCACCAATCACTGTTTGAAAATCTTGGTTGCATATTTGTAAACTAACACTTGTATTAACACAATTATTTAAAGGAAATACTCTTAAGCCTTAAAGGGTGGGTGGAATGTGCATGGAATGTGTATAGATAAATATAATTGTATTTGAGTCATTCTAAAATGTCATGTTTTTATGATGAAAATATTTACAGTTTAGCTGATCACTTTCCCTGCTACAGTGCAAAAAGTAGGCCTGCAATGTCATTAAAGGAAAATAATGAGTCATTATAAGTGTTTAATAAATTTAAAGAAAAATAAGATTCATTACCTGCATCTGACCCATTTTATTATGCAATGCATTAAGTATTCTTGTCCTCAATCTTAGATTTTAGATACTCAGGAAAAACCCCTAATCTGCCATTGCCTAATTCGGACAGTTATGAGCCATGGAAAATGGACAAAAATGTAATGGTAAGTTATTAATACTTAACAAAATCTCATAATATTGGGTTAATTTTGTTTATATGGACTTTTAAATAGTTTGTCATAAAAATACTTAGATAATATCAGTCAAAACTTCAGTTACCCTAAAATGGTATAATTTCATGAATAAATTTAGAGAATAAAGGGCATAATCAGTGACGAACAAACAGTTGTTCAAAATGCAGCCATCTTGGCTTTCTGCTGCTCTAGAAAACAAAGATAAAGTGGTTTTTGCCATGTGCGAGGAATAGCTTATATTTTAAAGGTTTAGCAGAGACTGCAACATCTGTTTAATTAGTAAGTGGACTGACAGTAAGGAGACCTAAAATATTGTTTCAGCTCAGTCACTGACTAGCTGTGACACCTCGAGTAAGACACTTCTACTCTCTCTGGGCCCATAACTTCTCCCAGTCATCCATTGTATTTATTTAGATTACTAGGAGATTTACCTGGTGTTGCTCAGGTCCTTAACTCAATTAATTTTTATTTTTTGAAAAATAAAATGTAAATGTTCATGCTTCATTTAAATCATTGCTCTGCGGTGGGACTGGGGATGAGAGCACCAGTATGCAGGCTGTCCTAGGGAGAGAGGAACTATCCCAGCCATCTCTCACCGCAGCATCTTGGGGCCGGGTGAGAAGCACCTCTTCATGGTTGCTGCAACTCCAGCAGGCACATCCAGGAAAGGAGTGCATGTCACCCAACTAGGACAGGTCCAGGATCATCTGCCTCTTGTGGTCCCTAGACAGAGTGAGGAATTCAGCAAACTGACAAAGGGGAACAGCCATCAGTGTTCCTGTATGAATTGGGGGAGAGGAGAAGGGGATCTGTAGCATCCCACACCATCCCTAAAGGGTGCTTGGGAAGTGAGAGGCTCAGGGCTGAGGCAATCCCAAAAGGGCAGGGCCTTTCATTTGCCTGGTGATTCTGTCTCTTTTCTGTATGATTTTATGACAAGTATTCCCATTCCAGGCACATCCCATTTTCCTGGCACAACCAAACCCTTACTTTGCATTATGATAAGAGGAAGCTGTATGCTGAATTTGGTGGTCTTAGCTCTTGCCATTTAGGAGTTCTTGGACAAACAGAGAGACGTACAAATAGACAAACTCTTTCATATAAATAATAGATAAGCTCTTTGGGATGGAAATAAGCTCTTTGGGATGGAGACTCATATGGTATATGTGTATAGTGCATAGTTTGTTAGATACTAATTATATTTTAAAGTGTAATTTGTTTTTAAAATGTAAATGAATGTCTTTTCTAATGAAAAATGGAAAGGAGAAATTATTGTATTACTTTGAATGATTGTCCCCATGTGTTTTCCACATGTGGATACACATGTGTGCCATGTTCCTGAATCTGGAGGTTTTTAGTAAGCAGGGTCCATTGGTTCACATACATGCAGTTCTCATCATGCTCTGAACTAAGAGTATAAGTGGCAGTGCAGAGCACTAACTCTCCATTTCCTCCTTACCCACCATGTGGTCTGAGTCAAAGAAGCTGTGGATACAGCTTCTTTGAGTACTTCAGTCTCTAAATATATTGTAACTATTTCATTATTTTGTTTTTACTTTTTTGGTCTTAAGTACTAGTGTTGGGTTTTTTCCATTCTGAGGAAATTCTTTCTGGGAGGCTAAGATTATAACTAGGGTTCAAGAATTGTGTTTCCTTTTCTGTGAATGATGAATGTTACCCTTACTGAATAGCTGAAATGTGAGACTCAGAAAAGTGCAGCATTTGCCTTCCTTCTCTCCTAGAATTTGTGGTGGTCAAGAGCTGTCTTAAAAAAGCATCTGATGGAGACATTAACCTCAATCAACTGTCAGTGCCCCACCCTCAGGAGTTGAGTTTAAATCTTCTAAGCCAAAGGAGAAGGCTTTTCATGAGATTAAGATGAGATAAACTGCCTTCTTTCAAATTGGCTCCAGAGAAAAGAGATTCTTCCCCGATTCCTTCAAAGTAAGGAGATTCCTCATGCACTGGTCCTAAAGATTGAGGCCTGAGTAAACCTCAGTAGGGAGAAAGTTGTGCAAAGGAGCATAAATTTATTCGTTTCTATACCAGTTCCAGTGTGCAAATTCAAAGACAAATATCCACACAGAATGTGCCAATATCATCATAGCCATGAGGGGATCTGACTTATACTGTAACCAAGAAAGCACCGGATCCAGTAGCTCCACTAACGGACTCATCCAATACATCAGAACACTCTGAGACCTACATCTGCCCAGAGAACATTTTGGCTGTCCCCCATTCTCACACCAATACCTCAAGTCCGTTCTTATTCAACAATGGTTATGCTGGAGAAAGAGGCTATCCTGGAGAGACAGAGCCACTGTCTTCCACTCATGAGCCTGAATACTCAGTCATTGGCACTGTTGGTTCCAGTGGTAGTTTGGGAAACAGCTTTTTCATCCATTTGGTTGGAGGTTCCAGGAGAGCCCTTACCCTATTATAGAGAAAGAGAGCTGGACAGAAGCCCTAAGAAATTTGGGTTCTATTCTGTCACCATAAATGACTTACCAAGAGAGAGTTGATACTCAGTGCCAGATGGTAGTCTCAGCTGGTTGGTTTCTTGTACTAACATTATTGGGGCCCTTGCGATCTCTACTGTAGGCACCTAGGGTACGTCTACACTTGCACCCTAGTTTGAACTAGGGATGCAAATGTAGGCGACCGAAATTGCTAATGAAGTAGGGATTTAAATATCCCACACTTCATTAGCATGATCTCGCCGGTGCGTTACTCCGCTCAACAGCTGTTCCAAAAGTGAAAGTGCGTGCTAGGACGTGTTAGTTCAAACCAAACCCTTGGTTTGAACTAACATTATTCCTCATTTTTGGAAAGAGTTCCACCTCAACAACAAGGAAAAGGATTCTACTTCCTAGATTCTACTTCTAGTCTCTAAAAGAACAGAAGATGTAGATTGATTGTTGATCTGTGCCAGCTAAATGTATTCATCTGGAAGAAGGCAAATGTTTTGTGGTTCTCAACATAAAAGATGCATGCTTTCACATAAACATTGACCTATCACACAGAAGTTCCCTCAGATTCTTCCTTGGTCAAGACCATTACCAGTTGATTCTTCCGTTCAGGCTAACTGTGACATCAAGGGTCTTTATAAAAGTCTTTTCACTGTTGACAGTTTTGATGAGAAGAAATGGGTTTGTCTTCCCATGCCGTGATAATTGACTACAAGAAGATTATATAAGGAAGTCCAGGTGGCAACCTGACTCCTTCTTTATCTTCAACTTTCCCTAAGACTTTTTGTCAACCATGAAAAGTCTACTTTGACCCCATGAGGACCATTGCCTACATTGCAACAACTTTGGACTTGACTGCCACAACTGCCAGGGGCAATGTCATAAAACAGGCCACCCTCAAACTTCAGTCAGAACTTACCTATTCCTCCTTTGCCTCATGCACACACATGATGCCATTTGCCAGACTCCATCTCTGTTGCCTGCAGACTTGGCTTTTGTTAGTCTACTCACCAGAAAAAAACAACATCAATAGCAAAGTAACAATTCTATCCAGGACTCTGGTCTCTCACATCTGGTGGATAAAGCCAGAGAAAATTCAGATGTGGATTCTTCCTCAAACCTGTATCTGAGGTTTTCAGCATTACTCATGCTTCTACTTAAGTTGGAGCGCTCATATGAATAATCATACTGCATAAAGCATCTAGACCCCTTGGGAATCTAGATACTTATCAGTTTATTGAAGCTAAGAATTGTTCATCATGCCTGCAGTGTTTTCTTCCACTCATTTGGTCCCAGCACATCTAGATAGTTTTAGATAATAAGACTTTTATATAAACAAAAAGGGAAAACAAGATTCCTTCCTGTATGTGTTGAGACAGTTATTCTCTGGAATTGGTGTTTCAGACTTCAGATAACTTTCAGCAGCCTATTTGCTACATTTAGAACATAAGAACAGCCATAAGTAAGACCAAAGGTCCATCTAGCTCAGTATCCTGTGTGCCTACAGTGGCCAATGCCAGATGCCCCAGAGAGAGTGAACAGAACAGGCGATCCCTCTTCTGTCATCCGTTTCTAGCCCCTGACAAATAGGGTCTTGGGACACCATTCTTATCCATTCTGGCTAATAAATATTGGTGGACCTAACCTCCATAAATGTATCTAGTTCTTTTTTGAACCCTGTTGAAAGTCCTGGTCCTCACAACATCCTCTGGCAAGGAGTTCTACAGGTAGACTGTGTGCTGAGTGAAGAAAAACTTCATTTTGTTTGTTTTAAACCTGCTACCTATTAACTTCCCAGCAGACAGTCTCAGTGGATGTTTTTCTGCAGACCACAAATGGGAGATTGATGATTTGGTCCTGAATAAGATCTTCACCTAATGGAGAATACCATCTTGGAACCTTTTCAGTTCACAAAAAGCAAAAAAAAATCCTTTGTCTGTACTGCTACAGAGCAGCTCTAGGTAGGTGTTCAGAGGGAAATACCCTTCTACTATTATGGAAAGATCACAACAGGTATATCTTCTGTCACATTCCATTAATACCACGTTTTGCAAAAAATCTGTCAGGAAAGGACTCAAATCATCCTTATTATACCCAGTTGGCTGAGACAATTCTGGTTCACAGACACACTGAGACTTTTAGCTTGTCTGCCCATGAAAATCCAGCCATTTCCAGTCCTGCTAATGCAACAAAATGGCACATTCAGGCACCCCAACCAAGAACTGCAACTCAAGGCCTGGTATTTGGATGGGTATCAGATGTAGAGTGTATATGTTCCAGGGCATTTCAATCCATCAAAGTAGGAAAGATTCTATTTAGCAAAGTTAAAGCATTTCTTGTTTGGTGCTCAGCAATATTATTTATCTGCAGATTATCTCAGCTATTTTAGACTATCTGCTTACTGATATCACTTTGTCTATTTTCCAGAAGGAAAAGGTCTCTCTTTGACCCCATCCAAAATTCATCTCTAAAGTAATTTCAGAGTATCACATGTATCAGACTATCCACTTACCATATTTTTTTGATGAAACTGCATGCCTTTGAGGAGAGAAGGCTTCTTTCTTTAGACATCCCAAGAATACTGGGCTTTTATCTACAAATAGCAAAAGGAATTAGAAAAACACCTAACCTTGTTACCATAGCAGAGAGCGCAACAGATCTAGCTATATCTGCGCAGAGACTTTCTAAATGGATCTCATTATGCTTTGTTGTCCACTGGCTCATATCCCTACCCTGGAGAGGGTGCGAGTCCATTCCACTAGAGCCCAAGCAACCACTACTGCATATATGCAAGACATGCCTCTTCTAAAGAGAACTATCTAGAGCAACTTCCTGGAGCTCCTTACTGTCACAAAATATCACACTTTGTTCCAGTCTTCTATTACTGATTCAGCTATAGGGATAGCAGTATTGGACAATCATCATTTCTGCATTCTTGCATCTGCCTACAGTTTGACTACTGCTTGTTAATCTCCCACATGTCAAATATAGATTGGAACTATCACTTGAGGAAGAAATGGAGATTACTTATCTGTAACTGTTGTTTTTTTAAGATGTGTTGTTCCTATCTGTATTTCACTACCTATAATCTGTTCCTTCTGCTGCAGATCATAATTTGATTTGTGGTAGGAGGAGGAACTGGAACAGTGCCAGTCTGCACTGCCCTACTACCCCAGTTCAGAGTATAAGGAGAACAACTGCAAATGTATTGAGTGACAGTTACTGCTTACTAAAAATCTCTGGACTCAGGTGCATGGTGTCTTGATGTGGACACGGATCCCACACATCTTGAAGAACCTATTAAAGAATCAGTTACAGGAACTAACCCTCCATTTACCTGATTTTTAGGTTTCGCATCCGATCCAGCAGAACCTTGGCATGGTTGAGTTGCCCCGTAAATATTGCAGATTGTATTTCAATACACTGCGTGGCTGTGAGAGAATGGAATGTTGGTTTTGGCATGTTCCTGAACAAGGAGATGAAAAGGTAAAAGAGGTTTGCTTTGGAGGAGGGAATCCTCAGGTTGAACACTTTCTATTTGGTATGAAATATTTTGTATTAATTGAGTTCATTGTTAGTTACCTTTGAAGCGAAGAAATCCGAAGTGGGAACCCAGAAGAACACTGTGATATTAACAGTTCCTTAAAAAGATGTCACCTAGAGAGATTATAGAACTTAAGTTTGTGGATCGTGTGTGTGTGTGTGTGTGTGTGTGTGTGTGTGTGTGTGTGTGTGTGTGTGTGTGTGTGAATTGTCCTGTGGGATGACAGAGTGACATCGCTGCAGGGAAAGGTGGGAGGAGTGATCAAGTTTGGAAAGCTAACGGTTAGTAAAAAGAATTATTACGTGGTATTTGGAAAGCTAGTGGTGAATTAGGAAAATACTGAAGCCCTTCTGGCTGCAGCCCCTGGCAAATGCACCCTCCATGGCCCTCTCAAGTCATTGTGAGGTTGGGGTAGCATGTTGCCCCAGCCTCCCTCCCCTATGATCTGACTAGGGGGTGGAAGCTGTGAGCCACTGTGCAGCCTCTCTCCTCCCCAGTGTTCAGGGGAGTGAAAGCCGTGAACCGTACAGCCCAAGGGAGTTGCACATCCTCTCCCCTCCCCAGTGGTGGGGGCAGGGCGGAAGCTGTGATCCGCATGGCCCTGGGAGTCATGCAGCCTCTTCTGCCCCCATGCTCCAAGTTGGGGGCAGGAGCCACATGGCCCTGGGAGTTATGCAGCCCCTCCCCTTTTCTCTCCCCAGTTCTTGGGGGAAGCAGAAGCTCCCTGCCCGGTGCTCGGGGGGCTGTGTGGAAACTTCAAGCAGCACGACCCCGGGAGTTACACAGCCTTTCCCCTTCCCTTTCTTGGGTGCTCGGGGGTAGGAGGACAGACGCAGTAAGCCACACAGCCTCTCCCTTCCCCCCACCCAAGGGGTGGGAGCCATGAGGCCTCCTCGTCTCCATTGCTGCAGGGGGAGTTGGAGCCATCTCCCCACACACACACACCAGGTTGAGGGGAGAGCCAGGGCTGGTGCGCTGCAGTCCAGTGATGTGGGGGGGGCTGGGGCAGGGGCAGGAGTGGGGCAAAAAAGAGCTGGTAGGGGGCGAGGAGCAGTGAGAGAGGTGCAGGCCGGGGCAGAAGGGAGAAGGAGTGAGAGAGCTGGGGAAGGAGAGAGGAGGGGCAAGAGAAAGCCAGGGCGGTCTTGGCCCTGGGCCCTCCCCATCTCAGGGTATGTCTAGACTACATGCCTCTGGCGACAGAGGCATGTAGATTAGGCTACCAGACATAGTAAAATGAAGCGGCGATTTAAATAATCGCCGCTTCATTTAAATTTACATGGCTGCCGCGCTGAGCCGACAAACAGCTGATCAGCTGTTTGTCGGCTCAGCGCGGCAGCCATGTAAATGTAAATGAAGCAGTGATTATTTAAATTGCCGCTTCATTTTACTATGTCCGGTAGCCTAATCTACATTCCTCTGTCGTCAGAGGCATGTAGTCTAGACGTACCCTCAGAGTGAGGCGAGCATAGCAAGCAGGAAGTGCAGCCTCCTAGTAATAATGAATTAATGGAGATGCCTCAGTAAACCCAAAAGACCAGATAATCAAACCCAGACATTTTATATGCTCCTAAGGTCCAAGGCTGTCTACATTCTTCCCCTGCAAAAAGTAGCTGTAGCAAAGGCATCTTTATTATCCTCCTTAAAGAACTGATAGACTGAGTAGAACTGGGTTTGTGTACCAGCTATTTATGCTATACCTTGCATTTATCAACATTTCATTTAGTCTGCCATCATGATTTCTGTTTGATCCTCTGTTAAGTATCTCTGGAGTTCCATGATATTCTGTGCTCCTAACCTTCCCAAATAATTTGTCAGAGGCGAATTTTATTACCTCACAGTTTACTGATTCACTTTTCCAGCTCACTTAATAAATATATTTTACATTGTATACTTCCATGGGACATCCACTAACGTTTCTGCATTGAAAATCGAACATTTAGATTTTGTTTTTTCTTTGCTGATTTCTGAACCATGACAGAATTTCACCTTTCACCCTTTGATTATTTAACGTGTGTCTTCATGACACAGCTTGATTTATAACTTGAGCATTAACCCTAATTCAACTCCTCTTAACTTGAACTAAGGTTTTTTATATGTTAAGATGGTACTTTCATTTCAAACCAATTGGTCCTTCAGGAGGCTTGATTGATGCTCCAGTGATGCTGGTGCTCAAGCAAATAATGCAATGGTGATATAACAGTTTGTTCTTTGAGTGCTTGTTCACATTGATTCTGATCACGTGCGTGCGCATCATGTGTAGAAGCATCGGAAAATTTCCCCTAGCAACTTCCGTCGGGTTGGCTGTGGATGGTCTAAATAGAAGGAAATTCAATAAGAGCAAATAAAAAGTACTCCACTTATGAAAGAACAATCAATTGCGCACATACAATATGAGAAACAACTGCCTAAGTAAGGAGGAGTATTGTGGAAAGGGGTCTAGAGATCATAATGGACCATAAGCTAAATATAAATCAACAGTATAACGTCGTTGCTAAAAAAGCAAATATTCTGGGATGTATTAGCAGGAGTGTTGTAAGCAAGACATGATAAGTGATTCTTCCACTCTACTCTGTGCTGATTAAGCCTCAACTGGAGTATTGTGTCCAGTTTTTGATCACCATGTTTCATGAAAGATGTAAGCAGAAAAGAGCAACAAAAATTAATAAAGGTCTAGAAAACATGGCACATGAAGGAAAATTGAAAGAACTGGGTTTGTTTAGTCTGGAAAAGAGAAGTTTGAGAGGGAACATAATAGTTTTCAAGTACCTAAAAGGTACATGGAGAAGGGAGAAAAAGTATTCTCCTTAGCCTCTGGTGATAGGACAAGAAGCAGTGGGCTTAATTGTAGGAAGGCTGGATTTAAATTAGACATTAGGAAAAACTTCCTAACTGTCAGGGTGATTAACCACTGGAATAAATTGCAGAGAGAGGTTGTGGAATCTTCATCATTGGAAATTTTTAAGAGCAGGTTGCAAGTGCAGGGATGATCTAGAGATGTGGAGATGATGCTTGGTCCTGCCATGATTGTGGGGGACTGGATTTGATTACTTGAGGATCCTTCCAGTCCTATATTGCCCCAGCATCCTTTGTGATTAACATTACAGAGAACCTTTTTTTTTTTTATTTTATTTTTTTTTTTTTTTGCATTGTTTTCCTGGTCCTTCTTGAGTTCTGTTTTTAATCACTGATAGGCCAGCATACCGACTGACTCGCATAGAATTTTTTCTTTTATGTATTTGTTTATCTGGTCCTTCAATTCACTTATACTCCTCTTGATTTTTGTCAGTACTTTACATGACATAACTTGTTTTCTGTTGGCCTTCGTTGGGAGGCTTCCTTCATTCAGGAAACAAAGGGATTTTAAAGAAGGCTGAAAAAGGTGTAGGTTCAGAATGAATGCCTAATTACCTTCTTTGACAGACACAACAAGTATTCCAGAAAGGAGTGAAGCTGAGAAAAGAGGAAGTAGATTCAGAGCTGTGTTCTCAGAACAGTAGCTTCTGTATTTCTCAGAAAGGGGAGAACTGATTCATTCCCCCACTCCATATATACCAAATATACTCAAGGCAATGAAGTAATTCTGTATGTGCTACAGATCAGAGCAATACAATCAGCCCCACTGTCAAGGAATTTATTCTTTTTTTTCTGCCTGTACAGTCTAGGGGGATCAACCTCACTTGTGTCCAAAGAACTTGAACAAAAATATAGTATAAGGAAATTAGAATGCAAACTAGAAACTCTTTAAGATATACCCTTGCCTCCACTATTCAGAATAGTTACTTGTAAGGATGTTAAGGACTAGTTGACTATCCGATAAGCAAATGCTTATCGGATAGTTGGTCAACTAGTCGATTTCCTCCCCCCTTTAGCAGATAGAGGCAGCAAAGGGCGGGGGGAGGAGAAGGGGTACTTCAAAGCGGCAGTGCACAGCTGAGCTGGGGATCAGCTGTGTGGCACTGCCGCTTTGAAACCCCAAGGCAGTGTTTCAGAGAGGCAGCTGCCTCACAGCTGATGTGCGGCTCAGCTGTGCAGAGCTGCCCCTTTAAAACACTGAAGCACTGGAGCCTGGGGTCAGCTGGGCCCCAGCTGATCCTGGGCTCCAGGGCACTGCCCCTTTGAAATGCTGAGTTGGTGTTTCAAAGGGGCAGCCGCCACACAGCTGAGCCAGGGATGGACTCTTGTACTTTTCAAAAGAGGAATGCAGAAGTGCCTATCGAGTAGTCGATGGAAATTCCATCAACTACTTGACTAGTCAGTTAACCATAATTTAGTTACTTGTACTGTATTTACATAAGCATACCTGTACATTCCAGTACGAATCTCCCACAGGAAATAGCTCCATTTCTGATACAGCAAAAGACCACTGTTGGCATAAGGCTCTAATATTTAGTCTTGCTGTATGTGGCAGAGTATTAATCAAAGTGTTTGTCATTTTAGTGGTAGACCTTAGAAAAAAGGAAATTCATATCTGCCCCTTCTTGGAGGACTTCCAAATTAATCCATTAGAAATTAGGAAATAGCTGCGACTGCCTTTCTCTTACAATGAAAAACAAACATTTTCACAAGTCAGCTAATAGCCACAGAAATGTTTAAGTACTGGTCGATACAAGATTATAAAAAGTGTTTCTGTAAAAAAAAAAAAAAAAAAAAAAGAAAGAAAGAAAGAAAGAAAGACTTAAGTATCAAACTGATATATTAGCCTTATTCCCATTATGCAGGTTAACCTGTTTTTTGAAAACGTCAGTTTCATAATATTCTTGTTTAAGATTGGTTTTGTGAGGCCCTCCAAAGAATTCTGTTCTCTTTTCATCCAACATGTCAAGATCAGCCTTCACTAGCATGAAAGTTCTCAGTAAAATGAACTCATTCTTAATATGGTGAAAAGCAAAACAGATTGCAGATTTGTTATTCCATTCCTGACTCTTTAAAAAATTGGTCATCT